TGCATGGTGTGCTTCGAGAGCGAGGTGATCCCCGCGCTCGTGCCCTGCGGCCACAACCTCTTCTGCATGGAGTGCGCCCTGCGCATCTGCGGCCGCGCCGAGCCGCAGTGCCCCGCGTGCCACGCGCCCGCCACCCAGGCCATCCACATCTTCTCGTAGCCGCCCGGCGGCGCCGCGGCCCCTCCGTCCCCGCCACCCCACAACACGGCTGTCTAAGGACCTGCAACGGTTCAGAGCAACCTTTTCATTTAACGGAGCAGATCAGGCAACACGGGGCGGGAGGGGATGGAAAGAAAAGGAAACAAATCGAGGACTTATTTCCCACCGGATCAAAGCCGGGGGGCAGCAGGAGTGGGAGGGACAGAGCGGGCTCGGGACGGGGATGAAGGGACCGACGAAGACGCCAGGAGGAGGGGCACCAAGTAGCAGAGAGAGGAGGAGGAGGAGGAGGAAGATGATAAAAAATCAAATGTTTACAGAATAGCTTTAACTCTTAACCTGGCTGTGGCGGCTGGGGGGAGGAAGCCCAGCTGTTCTTCAACAGTCCTTTCCAAATAACAGTATTCAGTTTGCAAAGTTAAATAAACAGAAAGAAAAGGTCCGGTTGCACTTTTTATTTTAGGACACGCAAGGGTTGTCTTTTATTTTTTTAAAAGCATTCTATTATTATTATAATTTTTTTGTCTTTTATTTTTTGTCATCCGTTCTTTTTGTATGTAGCTATTTTTTTGGATGAGTCTCGATGGTTCTATAAATATATCTATATATATATATTTTTTTTGTAACGCAGGTCTAGCTTCTATTTTGCCAATGTGAAAACTGCCCAAAACATGTTAAGAAAGGACAAGGGTGAGTCTTGGCTGGAGGGGCTGGGGGCGCCTTGGGGACAGACGGCGCGATGAACATGTCATATCGCAAAAAAAACCCCGACAGATTTCTATATCCTTTTTATTTTGTGGTCGTTTTCTTTTTATTAGTTTTATTTTTTTATTTTTTACCTCTTTATGTATATGTAGGGAATTTATAGGAAAATATGTACTTTATTGAATAAATTTTAAAAACTAAAATATATTTTATTTTAAAAAGAAAATAACGGACCTTTAACCTTACATGGCTAAAGTACTGATTATATATTTGCTGAGCTGACTTGACGGTTATGAAAATTGTATCAAGAGTTTTATTTTTTGACTTCAAAGCCTTCTTAATAAAGACTTTTTACTATATACGAACCGCGGGCTGTGTCCGGTGTGTCGCGGTCTGCGGTGTTGCCCTGGGCTCCTGGTGCTTCGGCAAGGGGAGCTTGGAAGAGGGGCGGCTGCTTCCCGCATATCCCTCCTGTATCTCCCCAGCATCCTGCCCTGCATCCCGCCCTGCATCTCTCCTGCATCCCCCCTGCATCCCCCTTGCTCCGTCACTGTTCCTCGCCTACTCCTTTGCCGTGGATTTGGGGACTCCACTTGCAGCCAGCTGGTGCCCGGGGCACTGCCACGTCCCCTCCACATTGTCCCCATCCCAGTGGGGCGATGCGGGGATGGGGCCTGGCCTGTCTCTCTGCTGCCAACCCAGTGTCACCAGCGCCTCCGTGTTTGGTCCCCGTGCCCGGGAGGTGGGCAGGCCACACGGACCCTCCACTCGTGGGGCACCCACTTTCAGCAGGGACCCACGGGCCCCCTGCAAAGCCTCATGGCTGTGGGTGCCACCCTGGATGGAGGGGAGCGGGGCTGGATGGGGCTGCTCGGGGTGCCCTGGGGCTTGGAGGGGGTCTGGGATGCAACGGGCCCTCGGGGTGCCCCAAGTGCTGGGGGCTTGGGATGCTCTGGGTGAGGGGACCTGCGGTGCCCTGAGCAGGGATTGGGGGTGCTCGAGATGGGACTCAGGGGACCCTCAGGTGTCCTGGGTGGGGGTCAGGATGTCCGGAGTTTGGGTGTCCCAGGCAGGGAATCTCAGGGCACCTGGTTGGGGGGGGTCTCTGCATCAGACCCGGTTTAGGGCGCCCTAGACAAGGGGCACCGTGGGAGGGGGTCCTCGAGGGCCCCGGGGGCGGGAGGTGGCACCAGCGGCCGCGCGGGGCGGGGACCCAGGCGTCCTGCCCCCCCCTCCACCGCTGCCGCTAATTAGCGGCAATTAGCGGCAGGGCCGGTAAAGGGGGCCCCGGGCGG